TTTATAAAAAAAAAAACCATGTTATAATTGTGATTTTTCTGTCTTATAACAAATGAACACTACTAGACCTTGAAAATTTGAGACAATAAATTCAAAATCAATTTATTTATTTTGCAGTTGCTTTTATTTGATTATGATAAAGTTGAACTTGCAAATATGAATAGATTATTTTTCCAACCACATCAAGCTGGTATGAGTAAAGTAGAAGCAGCAGAAGTAACACTTAGGTAAGCATCAAAGGGTAAATAAACAAAAGGCTTGTATGAGCAGACATGTGATAAACATCTCATTGCAATGCAATGATATGATGTGAAGTCCATCACTGTTTTTGATATATACAATGCATGATTTAAAAACTGTTTTTTTTTTGTTAGTTTTGAGTCAGATCTTCATTGCGTGCTCATCCAACTTAACCCTTACACCATAATAAAATTTAGATAATAATCAGATTTGGCTGTGAATAAAAACACAATTTACATTTCATTTTATATAAGTCTTGTAAATGTACAATACTTCAACATGTCTAATGTATGTTGAAAAAAGAGACTGTAAATCTATTTTGATTCAAAATCAATGACTGAAAATGTACTTTTAATCCAAAATCAGAAAATATACTTTTCACCTGATTCAGAGACCGAAAATGTACTTTGAATGCTGCATAAACTTCACTCTGACTTTGAACTAAGTTTGTAACATTGTAAGCTAAGCTATGGCTATGGCTAAAACAGTTTTATGGATTCTATTTTTAGAGATATCAACCCTGATGTTGAGTTTGAAGTTCATAATTATGATATCACCAAAATAGATAATTTCCAACATTTTATGAAAAGGATAAGGTGAGTGAAATAATATTTGTATTGTACCTATAATAAAGTTTGTAAATATTTAATAAATTGAATACAATGAGCACACACTCTTGTGTGACATCATGCAGATCTTGGTGTTCTCATCAGCTGAGATGTACTTACGGGAATTAATCTCTATATGACAGGTTCTATATTAATACATTGCCTGCTGAAAGTCTCATGGATAGTCAAAATGAATTAGAAAAAAGCAGTGTTAGTAGGCTACATGGATTAAACATAATTAACTCATGTCATATGTGTTTTTATAGTAATGGAAATTTACAAGGTGATGGCTGTGTGGACCTAATTCTTAGTTGTGTTGATAATTTTGAAGCTAGAATGGCTATTAATACTGTAAGTATACTTTAATTCAGGTATCACTGATGCTTAACAGAGAAAACAGAGTTGGCTTCTGCCACCTATTAGTCGTGAGGCAGCTTGGCTTGTATTTACCCACTGTGAACTTACGGCTCGCTATGAACTTTTTGACACAAATATAAAACTACATTGATGACCGAATGTGAACCCATTGATACCAGTGTTCACTTGAGTGACAGTGTACTAATATATGCTTATGACAAAAGTTAATCTACATGACATTTTAGGTTTTTATGAAACAGGAGATAATACAAAGTACTGTGGTTTTAATAATA